AAGAAAAAGAAATCTTATTTAGACAAGAGTAATAGTAGAAAAAAAGAAAGGTACATAGATCAGTTTTACAACTCAGATCATATAGAAGTACTAAAAAAAAAAATAATAAACTATTAAATCACGGTGTTTTATTATTTTTGTATACAAAAAACTAAATAATAACACTGTTAAAAGAAAACAAAATGCAATTCATATTTACAGAAATACACTGGTATTGGAAAGAATAGTACCGGTATAAATAATAACAATATGCGTCGAATGGAATGATATCGAAACAAAAAAAAAACTTGTTGTTATTGTTACTGTAATACGTGGAATAAAATGACACACTTTTATGTTTCTTTTTTGTTAATTATTTGAATCAGAAGATTGTTGAAGATGAATTTTAGGTGTATATTTATGATGTAAATCAATATTTTCATTAGATTCTTGTTTTGATTGATCAATTGTATTTGGTAAAATTAATTTCGATGATGATGATTTATTTGATCGTTTACGTCGTTGATGTAAACGTTGTAGATGACGATGATGACCAGTCAATGATAATGTTGATGATTCAAGAGTTGTTATGAAAGTATTTGTCGAAATATTCATACTTCGATGATGACTTGGAGTTAAATTTGAATGCTAAACATGAAAAGATAAGGGAATTATGAAAAACAAAAATAATATTTGTCGTTTGAAAATATTGTTAGTCAATAGAAGTTCGTATTATTTTTCTTTTTATTGATAACATGTTCTATATCTTACATGATGATGATTCATCGATGTTCTATCATCGTCATCATCATCTTCTTGTTCTTCCACTTCTTCAGCTTGTCCATCAAGTTTATTATTATCATTAATTGATTTTCTTCGACGTCTATTTCGTGTTTTCGAAGCAATCTGTTCATAAACACTCATACCTGAAACAAAAAAGTCATCCAAGACAATTTTTAATAATAATCATTTTCTTTCATACTCGCATGTTCTATAAGTAAATTCTCAATTGGATTAAGATGATGCACATGAGCCGGTGATTCGTCAGTTTTATTTAAAGATAATGATTCTGTCCAACTATTTGTCATAGAATTATTATGTCTCGTTGATGATGGTACTACTACTACTACTATAAAAATTCATTATAAACAAAAAAAAAAGAAAATCTATTTACTCGTATCCGAAACAAATACCCAACTGTCTTCATCAACAGGTACATCTGATGACAATTGAATTTTATTTGATGATGTTGGTTTAGACCAAAGTGATGTAATGGCTTTATACATTTGATGACCTTCAATTAAAGATTGAAGTTGAAAAGTGAGAGACCGTCTTAGCAAACCAATACAAACACGATCAAGTAGATGTACTCATGGTTATTGCGAGATGAGATAAAGAATAAGAAAGAAAAATGTTGTTGTTCTATTTTTTTTTTTTCGTGCGAACACGTGAAACTAAAATACTACAAGATTAATGATCAAATAACGAAAGAAAAAAAAATTGTTGTCTCAGAGACGATCATTAATTGTCATAGGACTGGATTATATGTGTGTCAAACGAAAACCAATTGAAAAAAATTTTGCTTTTTTTTTTTTGATTGATTTTAATTAAAAATTTTCAAAAAAAAGAAAAAAAAAGCCATACAATCAAATATCGTCTTCATTCATATTTAAAATAAAACAAAAAAAAAGTTTTTATTTACAAAATAACGACATCTATTATTATTCATATGTTATATGTTGGATTGGATATATCCAATTAAATGAAAAATTTTGAAAGATAATATTGTTACATTGTAACATAGAGAGATATGTTTACTGACTATATTCTCTCAGTTTATATAGAAGATTTTTATTTTGAACTTAATCTTATCTTGATTTGTAGAATTTCGAAGACTAACCTATATATAGAAAATTCTTTTTTTTTTTCATGATTTACATTTTTCCTATAGCAGAATATTTTTTCTTTTGAGAGATAATTTATATTAGATCTGATTAACAATATGAGAACATTTTCTCAGTTGTTCTCCATCCAGAGATTTAATATATGAACGGATGAACACAAGAGATTCGAACATAAAACTTTATTAAACAATATTTGATTTTCTAGATTGAATGCGCCTGGTTCGTTTATTATTTAAATTAATGGAACCACAATTACATATTCATTCAAATGTTGATATTGCGAGTAAATAATATTAGGAAAAAGAAAAATTCATTTTTCTATTTATTCATATAGATATTCGTAAACCATATAAACGATTAAATGAATTTTTTGGTATTGAACATCTTGTATCACATGAACCTATGGGTCAATTTAAAAAATGGTTTGAAGAAGCTGTTGAATATATTGATGAACCAAATGCTTTTTGTTTAGCTACTGCTACGAAGTAAATTATATAGATTTTAAAATATAAATTTATTGAATTGATTATTCTTAGAGATGGAAAACCTTCGAATAGATTTTTATTAATGAAAGATTTCGATGAAAATGGTTTTAAATTTTATACAAATTATGATAGTCGAAAAGGAAAAGAATTAGTAAATTTATTGAAAATTTTTATTATTAAAAACTATAAAATAAATTTTATTTTTAAGGAAGAAAATCCATTTGCATCAATGTGTTTCTATTGGTCATCAATGTCACGATCAGTAAATTTTTGTTTTTTTTTTCTTTTAATATCCTCTAACTGTTGCAATCTTAAAGAAACATTATATTAATTACACAAAGAACGAACAAAAATAGGTTAGAAAATCTCTTTCATCTATCATATCATGCGATGACATTCACTTTGTAACTATACTAAACATACCGATGTGTGGAACGAAATCGTGTTCTACCTTTCTGCTATAAAGACCTGTGATTGCTCAACGATGTTTGCTCTAGTAAGAGATAATCAACGAAGGCAATGATATAGACATTTTAGCGGAGTGTAATAAAAGTGGGTTATGCCTCGACTGTTAGTAATTGGTGAACAGAGAATCGAGTTTACCAGTGCTGTTTGCTATCGAATTCGAATAGTTGATGGTACAGGCAGAGAGCATTACTGCGGTTTTGGTACAATCGGTTAAATCACGAGTACAGAATAAAATTCAAGACAGTCGAAGAACTTATGTAATCTTCATTTTGATTAGTGAAGCGAATACCTATTTGCCCAGCTATAACAACGACTGAATCGTCGGTCATAACACTGTGCTAAGTGATAAAAATGGAACCTTGTGGACCACCACGGCGTTTTCACAGACGCCTGCTGAAGACCTAACCGAACTAACTTTTCTAAGTATCCTATAACTGCGGATTAAAAGTCTACGAAGATAGTAGCAACTGAAGAGTTGCTTGGCATGTTGGAGAAGAATTCCTATCTGCAGTCCATAGTCCGAATGAAAACCTGATTGATTGTCAGGTAGGATGCGCTTCCGTCTTTTAGAACTTGAAGAAATCGGTTAAAGAAAAAGTCTTTCTTGTTCTTTATTCATAGGTTCGTATTGATGGTCGTGTTGAAAAGTTATCTGATAAGGATGCAACTGAATATTTTAATACACGTCCAATTGATTCACGAATTAGTGCTTGTATTAGTAAACAAAGTCAACCAGTACCTAATCGAAAAGTAATAGAAGACAAAAATTTATGAATATTTAAAATTTAATTGTTTTTTGAAAATAGTATTTACTTGATCAACGACAAGAATATATTGATAATCGTTCACAAGTTCAAAAACCAGAAAGATGGTATAAAAAAAATTTTTCTTTTCTTCGTAACATAAAAAGTTAATAAAGAGAATTAATTCATGGAGTATGAAATGATAGAAAAAAACAAAATAGTAGAGTGTAATCAAGAAATATACAGTCATCTTTCGAGATTTCTACATTAGTTGAATTTAAAAAAACAAATCTGCATCAAGAGATTAATACGTTATCAATGCATTTTGTAATATTAGACAGGACTCTCGATGTGGGGGATCTTTCCAAAGCTACCCTCCCACGCTCTCAAAAAAAATCGAGAGTCTTGATATAAGATATGAGTTCATAGGAAACGAATAGCTGCTTACTATGCAAACTTTGACAAGAATTTTAAATTAAAATAACGAAATATAATGATACAAGAAATTATTTTCTTGTGAGAGAATAATCGTCATTGTAAACTGATTCATTTGATTGTTCTAATAAAATAATAAGCCGCATAGACTAATAGAATGACCTCTAAAAAACCGCATCTTCTTTATTATACAGCAGCTATTCATATATAAATGTCAGGAAAATGACAAAAAAATTCTTTGGAAATATAAATAATCTATGATTCTGTATTACTTTTGAAAGTGAGGAAGAGGGAGATAAATTCCGATAATTCACTTATCTTTGTCGCTGATGCTCATCTAATCAATTCTTTCTTCGCCGTACACATATATACATGACTCTTAAACCTCTTCTTGACTGTTACCTTCGATGAGTTGTACAACAGAATTGACAAATCTGACCCCTTTGACATTATTCTTGTTCTTTGTCTCTTCTCTTGCTAATTATTTTATTCATCTTCAAATCAATTTATCATCATAATGATATCTAGAATCGCATCTGCAGAGGGCAGCTCCCGCGAATCGAAGTACATTACCTATGTCATTCGCGCGCAACTATCCTAGATTCGATTTCATATGATATTTGTACTAGGTTTTAATAGACCGCTAATAACTGATGTTTAGCATTTCACAAGTATTGTAATTGCTATAGAAAAACATGGGTTTTATTTTTTTCCTGTGTTTCCATTTGCATGATATTGAAAACGATTTCTTGAATGAAATTTTTTTATTTGATTTTCAGGGGTGGTTTTCTTTTAATTCCACATACAGTTGAATTCTATCAAGGTCAAACTAATCGATTATCAGATCGTATACAATTTCGTCGTATTTTATCTGAATCTAATAAAAATATTCCAATTGATTCCACTGTAACACATCAAGGTACTCATGGTTGGGTATTTGAACGACTTTCACCATAAATAAAAATATATAATTATATTTATTATCTCAAATAAAATCTAATATTTCATTGATTTATTAGTAATCCCCTAGAAATGATTTTTGGTGATAATTTTAGATTTAATAATATATAATAATGGAACATTTTCTTAATAATACAAATGATCATAATTCAAGTTTTTTTCAACCACCAAGAGAAGATGATGATTTTGATACATTAATTGAACAACATTCTCCATCAACATCAACTATGGAAATAATACAACCAATAGAAAATGATAATAAATTAGAAGAATCAATTAATATAAATGATCATACACAATCAAATTTAAATATTGATGAAGAAGCAAATATAAAATTACAAGTTCTTGTTTCAAATTTTAGTGATGAACAATTAGATCGTTATGAAATGTATCGTCGTTCAGCATTTTCAAAAGTTGCAATAAAACGTTTAATGCATTCAATAACAGGTACAATACCATCATCAAATGTTGTTATTGCAATGGCTGGAATTGCTAAAGTATTTGTTGGAGAAATTATTGAAGAAGCTTTAGAAGTTCAACGTCAAGAACATAATGAACATAAATCAACAACACCACTTGAACCAAAACATGTACGTGAAGCATGTAGACGTATTAATAGACAATCTCATTGTCCACAAAGAAAAACATGGAAATCAAAACAAAAATCTAGATTTTAATTACTAAAAAAAAAACTTAATATAATAAATAATTTTCTTGTAATTTTTCTTTTTTTTTTCAGATGAAATTTGATGATGTACAAAAAATATTCTATGAAAATATTCATCGACGTTATCATCGTTATTGTCGAGAATTATTTGCACAATTAATATGTTTAGATTTAAATATTAAACCAGCTTATTTATTTGATTTATTTCCATTTTCTATACAAAATATGAGAAATTTATTAAATTCTTTATCAAATT